ATTAGGTGGACGGAAAGAAATTTGCCTGACTTTTTCGGATTGTGCCCGAGTTGTCAAAAAAAAAATTTCCAGAGAAACTTTCCGAAATTGTTGTCAACAGGGGGGGAGGATGCTACGAAAATTCCTATTAGATAGCATATTTCCCACAAAATTGACAGAATAATAAGCCAATACTGCCCAACTGGCTTTGTTTGCCCAACAAACTGGGGGGGGGGGCACACCCATGGTAGACCCTGCTGCATCTTACTCAGCACCCCATGTGCTCACTTTCCACCCCTGAATTTTTCTGCACACCCCCACCCCAAGCAAAATTTGAAAATGTCTATAGATTATGGTGATGATAACATAAAAGTATAAACCTTTATTACCGTAAGTTAATGTTAATTAATTAAGACTATTAAGTTAACACATGCTCCACTACATCATGTACACTTAATTAATTACAATAATTTTAGTGTTAATTTAAAATTATTCACTGTTAATAATTCTACTGTATTGAAGAAGTTCAAATAAAATAGTTCAAAATTAATCCAGCTTTTGTGTCTTCAATATTTTCCATACATCTTGCTTGGTATACTGCCCTACTTTTACTTGTCAATGTCAGAGCCACTCTATGGGTTAATTGGGAAACCAGAGTGAGAGGACAAATGCCAAATTATGATATGACAATTGTGAGATAATTCTGGAATAAACAAAAATATATTATATGTTGTAACTTTGAGCACAAAAATGATGATGGGAAAAACAAAACAATGTGACTCAACTCCAAACCAGAGACACCAGAACCATTGGTGCAATTATCAGGCTTTTAATGGTATAATAATCAAAAGTGGCCAGGATACAAGGTACCTTCCCAGTGCAAGGGAAGCAACATACAATAGTCGGTGTTCCAAATTGTTAAACCCATTAAGCTGCAGACAGGGCCGTACACAGGATTTTTTCACCGGGGGGGGGGGGAGTAAGGCCTATATGCCGGAAAAGTCCCAAATATCCAAAGAATAATTAATGACATTCTAAAAATCGTGAATATAGTTTTCTCTGGGGGGCAGTTGCCTCCCTTGCCTCCCCGCTGTGTATGGCCCTGGCTGCAGAGCTTCCCCAGTGGGGCGCATTGCAGCTCAATTGGTTAATTATAAAGGTTATGATAGACGTTATGTACCACCTGAGCTTTCATCACCCCTACAACCCTCTGCCCCCCAACAATGTGTTATAAATGGCCAATGTACTACCTTTTCATCATACAGCAGCAACATTTTCTTTGGGGGGGGGGGGGTATTTTGGGAAATACTTGAGTACCCTTACCAAACTGACATATATGTAAAATGTCTGCAAGTATCTGTCACATATCTGTTGCAGTACTGCAGCATAACTGCAACAAGATCTACAATATCTGCAAAATATCTGCATAAAAGTTGCAGATATTTTGCAGATATGTTGATTATCTGTCAACATATCTGCAAAATATCTACATAAAAGTTGCAGATATTTGCAGATATGTAAATTGTCTGTCAAAATATCTGCAAAATATCTGCATAAAAATTGCAGATATATGTAGATATGTCAATTGTCTGTCAATATACAGTAGCTCAACTACACAGCAAAAAATAATTTCTTATTGAGAAAACAATTCTTACTTCAAGAAAATATTTGTTGAAGAACATTTTTTGAAATAAGAAAAATTCTTTTACATATCTTAAATTACATTTGTTTTCTTGAAATATGAATGTTTTCTTACGATTTCGTCATCTTCATATCAAATCATTCTCTTAACAAAATTTTTAAAACAAGAAATCAAATTATTAACATAAGAAATAATGGTTAATAATAAATTATTTCTTACTTATTTTCTCGAAGAACGAAAATAAATTTGTTAAAATTTAAATATAACATCTTTTGCAATTTTTGCATTTTTTTTCCAAAATGATATATTTTTCCTCAATATTCTTTTAAAAAAAAGATGTCAAATGTAATCCTGGATTTAGATTCAATATGGGTTAGTATATTCACTTTAACTGTAATTAGCCTTTTCTCAAAAGAGATCACAGTGCATATTCTGGGGTGATTTGGAGGGATAAAATATATGGAGACAGGCATCAAATATGTGAAAGAGTAGAAGTATCTACTATCAAATATCAACTTTTTACATGACCAAAAATGAAATATATCCTTTTTACATTAAATTTTAATTTAAACATGTGACTGACATGTCACCCAGGACTTTGGGAATAGCTAATTAAATATACAAATTCTCTTCTATCATATTTATCTTTGTTAATTAATTTGTTATTAAAGTAAATTTGGGACAAAAATATTGTGTTTTATTTTGTATTAAAATGCTACATTTGCACCTTTAGGAAAGGAGACCTTGCCCCACCCCCTTTCCATCATCCCTGATACCATATAACTTCTAAAATTAATTTCTAAAGTTGAATTAAAGTAGATTATCAATAAATTAATTAACAGTCAGTAACTGATTGAAAACATTTGTAAATATTCCTTATATTCCTAATTCGTAGAGAAACTATATTAAATACATGACAACTGAAGCAACTGGCTGCAATAGTTCGCACATTGCCTGGAGGCCTGGTGCCCAGTTTAAGTGTCGGAGCGCAAAGTATCATGGGATAGCGTCGTTTCGAATTTTTGTGCTAAAAATTTGAAAGCACATTTACATGTCTTACATGGTGAAGAAATGTATCGAAATTTCAAACCCAAACGATGGAAAAGGCATGGAAAAGTTTGTAAAATGTTATTCAGATCTCACAGGTAAGAATAGTTATATTTTGACTTGTTATTTAAGCACTTTAATTGCGAAAGAATGTAGTGAAAATATGATTGTTACTTGAGCCATGTGTCTGAAATTCTGTTAAATATAATTTTGAATTTGCCGCGTTCAATTTACATAAAAAACATACAAATTGTTGGTTTCTGGCAAGGAAAGAAAGAATAAAATATCAATTCGAATCTATTATAGTAAATTCTGTACTAAATTGTGCACTAATAATATCAACAATTTAGCAATAATTGTCTTTGGCACATAATTATAATTTGGCACATAATAATTTGGCACTTTTGTAGACCTTTGTCAAGGGTGTATAGCTTAATAATAAAACGATATGAAATAATATATTAAATATATTAAACATTTGAATGCTGTTAAAGATATGTTAGCATTTTAATACATGAATAAGGATTGTAATTGCAGAAGAATTACATCATTGAATGTGATATATCAGTGTATTGATCCTTAACCCATTAAGCTGCAACTGTGTTGCTTAAGACAATTTTACTCGTCAAGGGGAGAGTCTTTCAAGCTCTTTATTAACGAGCTTCAGTTGTATAAAATGATTTGTTTGTAAAAGCTGGAAGATGTATGAGCGCTGAGACAATGCCTCAAATGTTCTCTTTATATATTTTCAGATTAATATTGGAACTGGATTATAGCCCAGTGTGCTCCAAATATTGTTCTCAAGTCTCAACAATCAGATCTGGATTGAGTTGACAAACTGGTGTTGTAAGGTAAGAATTAACAAGAATAAATAGTCAGCTTTTAGTGCTTTCTATGGAAAAAATCACAAAATGACCCGCCTAAGGTGGCCGCCTAGGCCAGACAAATCAGTCTCAATCTTATAAACAGCCCCTACAAAAATTTAGTAACTAGTAACAACATAATTGCACATGAATCCAAAGTTTACCTCCAAATGCAGTCATTTTAAGGCCTGTTAACAGTGACACTGTGCTCAATTTTGGTACCCGTAACATGTTTACCATGCTTGGACTACCTATTCATACTGGCCGAGCACAGATTAATTCGGTACAGGTACCAGTTTTATCTGTGCCGTACCAAAAATTGAGCATAGTGTGTAGGGCTTTAGTAGTTTAGTGCTTTAATAATTCCAGAAATGCCAGAAGTATAAAGGGTCAGTGTGCAACAGTCAATTTTCTGTCATAAATGAGTCATTACAGTATGGTACATGTAGAGCTGTCCGTAGGCCTGCAATAATGCAGGGGGGGGGCTGTGGCTGGACCCAAAAAATTTAGGCAGGGTAGGTAGGGTTTTCTTTTTTTCTTGTAAATTTTTATTATAAATGTTCATGCATGAGAATGATATTCTACATCAATTACGGCAGCACAGATGACACAAACATTCATTAAATATTACATCAACTTTGATTTTGAAACAAACAGGTCATACTTTCTTTGTAGATTTCCATGGTGATAAAACATATAATACTTTTGTTTGTGGAAACACCATATGTAGTTACTTGGTGTTTCCACAAACAAAAGTATTATATAGCTAGTACAAAACTAACGCCACAAACTGGGATAGTATCAAATCAAATGTAACCTAGTAGATCATTAATTAAGCCAATATATACCTGGTAACCCACTATATAGACATGGCTACCCTAAGGGCATCCCCCTATTTGGCCTAACACTATCTAGATTATTCTTGATGTCTCAATGCCAATTAAATCTAAAACATATTAAATAAATCTGATTTTATCAATTCCTATTTTTTCAGCTTTTGTTCTGGATGGTATGCTATGCAGTACATGGTACAGGACAAATGCTGTGGGGCTTGAACTAAAAGCAAACCAGCTGAGTGAGACTTGACATTAACAATTAATGACTTTTAGGTACTCATTATTTATTTCTGGCCATGTATATAAATATAATATTAGGAAATTTTAAATAAGTGTACTGTAGGTTATAGTAAGTGTAATTACTCTGCCCCAGGAGCTGGTTGTTCAATTCTGGACTAGCGCTAACCCTGGGTTAAAATTTAGCCTGCTGTTTTAGTTTGTGTATTTCTACACGCCTGTTTATTTCAAAACTTCAGAGAAAAAAACTCCTATCGATCCAGACAAGATCTCTGAAGAAATATTCCCAAATTTATAGACAAGCTGTCAAGAAGTTTGCTTTGAATTTTAGGTTAATTTTACTTAGGGTTAAGCTAATCCGGCCACCCTTGAACAACTGGCCCCTGGAGAAAAATTGATTGTACAGTCTTAAATTTATCTATATGTGTAACCTATAATAAATATATTTACTAATAAATACATTTACTATTCTGATCTAATATTTCTTCAATATTAAATTATTTATGGCTTCAAGTGAACATGACAGAGGTACAGTTGCAGCAACGTGATGTTGCAGAAGTAAGAGGAAATAGTTTTATGCAAGAGATAAATCTCACTTGGTGGCAGTTATGTTACATATCTGTTTGGTAGATAATATACAGATAATTTGATCTGTAGGGAAACTATACTGTCACATAACTGTGACAGATAGGTTATTGGGCCAAATTCCTATATGTTGCAGATATGTGACAGATATCTGTCATATAACTGTGACAGATATCTGCCACATAACTGTGACAGATATGTTACGGGGCCAAATTCCTATATGTTGCAGATATGTGACAGATACTTACGTACATATATTTCGCAGATATTTTACAGAACTGTGACATATATCTGTCACATATCTGTCAGTTTGGTAAGGGTATACTCCAAAAATCTTGACATTGATTAGCCTTGTATGCAAAGTTGGCACATATTACACAAAACCTGAATATATTTAAACACATACCTGACATACCGTTTGCTTTGAAGGAACGTCTGGAGTTACTGTAATACCATTTTCTAAAGTACAGTATAGATAACAAAAAGTTTTAGTTTCTGCAACCAAATTTTGAAATATACAGATAACAGATTGCCAAATTACACAAAAAAACCCCAGCAAAAGGCTGTTTTCTTAACAAAAAGATTGCATTTCATCGTCAAGCTTAAGTTAAGCCTACCAATTTTATGTGAGATAAGATAAAGCATAAATAAAATTGAATGAAATACCTGTTTATAGCTCGCTGATTCAAATATCCTCTTCGGCTTTGCTCACATTTTGCGAGGACAGCGAGGTTTGAATTTTGTTGTCTTTCTCGGGAAGAATAACTCGTACGACTTGCACATCTTTGAACCAATAACCAAGTTTAGAAAAAATATCTCGAAAACATTTTAAAAATCGATTCAAATATCGAGAAAATACTACAAAACCCGAGCAAAATTGCAAAAATCTAAAGTTTTTTAAAGAAAACCAGGGGGGTGTGGAAATTGTAGCGGGCTCAGATCCGAGCCTGGTCAGTGGTAATTACCATGAGAAATACGGACCAGTTGTCATGGAGATGGCGTCAGCAAAGGCCGAAATCCGCCATGTTTTTGGCTTCACTTTTTTTTCCCGTGCAGGTCCTCCAGTAATATAGTATAGCTCAGTGGTTTCTGCATGCATGTATTTTCTAGTTTATAAATTATGATGGCTCATATTTAGTCATTGAGTCGGCATCAAGTAGTTTTCAAATGTAAACGGAGTAGAAAGCGTGCAGGAATAGGGTCTGGTCCAAAAGCAAATTCATAAAAAAGTCGTTTTACTATGTCGTTCACTCGTTCGAGAAAACAGACAAAAAATGAGACAACAGAACATGTTGTTTCAGGTTAAATTAGAATTTCACTATTTGAATACTGCAGTACACCTTCAATTTACATTGGAATGAAGTACAATACAAAATTTACTATACTATTTTAAACTGAGATTGGAAGGAAAAATGGAAGGAAATTTAGGATTTTGGGAAGGAAATTTTGCGAAAAAAAAGGACAAAAACGAGAAATTTTGCTTTGCCAAAGTGGAAGCACTGATTCTTGCTTTTGTATGAGCCGAACGTCAGCAAGCGGTAAACCGCTCGCACGATCTGCTAATAAGCACTCCGCTTGAAATGCATTAGCTTGACTCAAACTACTTACAAAAATGCCAGGAGTATTAGCCTTCGAACAGCGCTCTCCTACAGACTTTCCCTCCATTTTGTCACAACGTTATGCTGTTTTGCGCCTTTTGGCGCCTTGGCGGGAATTTTAAATGTTGTCCTGGGGAAGAGGGTCAAGTGTTGGAAAGCATGTATTGTTCATGCGTTCCCCACGTGAAGCCTTAATTACTTTACAATGTGCGCAAATAATATTTACTTTCTGTGCATTTGTACTATGACCTCTCCCGCAGGGAACAAGCTCAATTTACATTATAAGCCAATAAACGAATTGCGCGCAAATTTTCAAACCAAGGTGCAGACCTACACAAAGCATTAGAGCAAGTCTGTGTAGCTTAGAGTCCTTAGAGAAAAAGCATTTTAATTTAACGACGATAAAGTTCCCGCGATGCCAACTCAAGATGAAATCCTTGTCCTTCTTGAAGAGGTTGCAAGAACGAATAGGACTTTGAATAACGAAAACCGTTTGTTGCGAGTGGAGCTAACTAGGCGCGATGTCGAGAACAAGGCTGTCTTAAAGAAACTCGAAGAAAAGATTGATTCAGTCACGTCTTCGAGTGAAAATGGCTCACCGCCTGCAAGAAAAAGTGTAAGACGCCGAAGAACGAAGACACTACGTGTTCCAGCTCAATGTCGGGTAGGTACCTGGTCTAACTAGTCTGTATTACGGTTTGACTACTTAAGTTGTTATAACGGAAATTTATATTCTGTTGCTTAAAGTAAAGAATGTATAAAACCAGCTCGGCAAGTATTCGCTAAAAGTCATATATGATATATTCCTTTCTATTACAGTATCTGTTATTGAAATGAATGTTGTGAAAGCGCGCGCATTTTTATCATTTGCAAATTGCCTCAAAATATTTTCAGTGCAACTAGTGCCCAGTGTTCAACCGCGCCCTGGTAATTATAATCTCTGCATTATGTCACAGAGTAGAGACATACAGAGACGTAACTAACCGTCGTAAACACTGCGGAAGATTACGTTATCATGTACCCACTTTTTTTCAGGCGACCGGGCGAAAAATGATCAACTGCGCGTGCTCAGCAAGTCTAAAGTGAGTCGTCATCAGGTCGTCATCCAATCAGATGCATGCATCTAGTAACTTGCCGAGCACGCGCACAAAAAAAGTGGGTACACTAGTTACGTCTCTGTATGTCTCTACTCTGTGATTATGTCTCACAAAGAATTTACAATTTTATACAGAGTATTTTCAATTGATAATATTTTGCAGAGAACAACTAAGAAGGTATATCAGGCGCTGGGCCAAAACGAAGAGTTTGGAGGTTTTGACATGGGCGAAAGGTAAAAGAGTGTTTTTGTAATTGTAATTAGGAAATAATAAACATCTCGAGCAAAGTGCAACAAACGTGTTTACATTTTGCCAACTATTTATATAAAAACCTCTGTGGTCTGAGCTAGCCCTCTCGTGAGTTCTTCCAAAAGTGGTTCTATTTAATAGCAGTAGTAGAAAATAGTTTGTGCTATAAAGTAGCATGTTTATACAGTGACTACACTCTTCTGTGTTACAGTGACTATAGTTAAAGTGGAAGTCAAGTCTGTATGTAAACAAACGGTTTGTTTACATTTTGAACTGCTGTATTTTTAAAAAATGATGTACTGTCTGCAGGGACGCCGGAACTGGGGGGCAGGAGGGGCAGCTGCCCCTCTTGCCTTTTGCTAGGAGGGGCAAGGGGGGGGGGCAGAAGTGCCCTTTGAGTTGTAAAATACTACCTAATAAATCACATTTCCAGTGATGCTTTTTGGGCAAAATCATGAGGTGTGATTTGAATGTGACCTGATTAAGTGTGTTTGCTTTCATTGGCAAGTCAACACACAATTGTAGGTTTGTATCTTCACCGGTGTCTATAGATCGAAGTGCCCTTTTCTTGTGCGTTTGCCCCCCTTTGTCTTTTTATCGTTCCGCCGTCCCTGACTGTCTGAATATCTAACACCATTATGGTTTGCTATGCTTCTAAATGAACATGAAATAGAGTTTAATATGTTCAGAAAAATTCGTAACATTCGAAATTTGGGCAATGTTCACATTGGAGGTCCTCGCATTGTTATGAGCAGAACTGATGCGCAGAACGGACTTGACTTCCACTTTAAGTATGTATATACAGTGACTATACTCTACTGTATTATAGTGACTATAGTTAAGTATGTATATACAGTGACTATAAACCCCCCACCATCCAACCCCGGGGCTATGCAGGCATTAGCAGTTTATTAATTAATGCCCCTACTGTATGAGCGGTGCACTTATCTGTAGCATATTGCATTTGCATTATATTATTTAGAAAGGGCTTAAGGTGCTATATATATATATATATATATATATATATATTGGAAAATTTACATATTATACCATACTTCATAGTGGTATTGCCCCTGGTATACTATGGAGATGACATACTGCGTATACACTTGGAACTTTCATTGCGGTTGCTGTGTACTTGCTAACTTATTAGCCATGAATGTCATGTACAGTATAGGCACAGATTACATACAATGTATGCTGATAAAGAGCATGCTGATCCATGTTAATTTATGTTTCATCTGTGTCCAAAATTTAAATGTATGAATTACATTACAATCAGCCAAAAAACATCACTACAGGAGGCCAAGCCTTCCTCACTATGTATCATGGAATTATAAGTTATAGTTTTAATATTAACCCATTGAGTTGAGCCACAATGCATCCCAGTATACCCTACTTTTTTTACTTGTCTAATGCCAGACGATTTTACTTGTCAATGGGGAAGCTCTGCAGCTTGATTGGTTAACCAAAAAATTTGACAATGTTTCTAGTTAACCCATTGAACTACAATGTGCCCCAGTGCACCCTAGTTACTTTTTACTTGTCTAATGCTAGATGATTTTACTCATCAATGAGAAGCTCTGTGCAGCTTAATGGGTCAAATTAACTGGTTAATTCTCAGGTGTTGCCCACTGATTTATAATAGTTTACCTGGACTCAGTGCTCAAGGGTTAGAAATGGCCACATGCAGATTTTGCTTGTGTCATATAGGTCCTCGTTCAAAGAAATCCCCATGGACAGTTTGTTTTTGAGTCGATGGCAAAAGCTGCTTGCATCAATTTGCAACATATAGGTCCTTTTTCATGCCATAGTTTTGCTGACATCAAGCTTTAATGAAAGTAGATTGAGCATGCTGTTCAAGTAAATTATATAGCTCAGTGGCATAGCTCCTTGATGAGTAAAGTCATGCATCGATCCAGTATTAGGCCATTAGCCAAGGTAGAAATATAAAGTACAGGTAGGGCACATGACTTGCATTGTGGCATAATGGATATAGTATTATATACTAAGATGGAATGTACATCATTCTGAATTTGTCATGTGTGATTTCCATCCAAAATTTTTGTTCAGATATACTGTACACATGTTGTTGGTACACGTCAAAGTTTCAAGTTGATTTAATGTACATGCATGGACACCGGGTTCTACAGTACAGTATGTAAAAATATTTGCTATTAAATAGAGAATAATACATGGGTATGCGGAAATACCAGATTTATTTCACCATGATGTATTTTTCTGTTTATTATATAATGGACAGTCTTTGAAAAGCGATAATTTTTACAGAAAAGCGATAATTGAAAAGCGATAATTTTCACATGTTAGATTATCATTATAAATAATCTCACATGTGAGATTATCAGTTTTATCAGTGCTCGAAATCTCTATAACGCACTATACTTTATATAATAATGGTAGTTATTTGGATACAAACAGAACATAGTCATAGACTGTAGTATGCATATCTTTAAAATTCTTTCTGTTCATTTATGTTTCAAGCATAAACTCTATACACAATAAAATGATAATGGACACTGTTGTGAAGGAAGTTAATAAACAATACAGTGGACAGGATTGGTGTCAACTAACAATTGAAAGTAAGTAAAACATAAAAAAATGAGTGATTCTAGATTACACTTCTTTAGAATATAGAACTGTTCCTCAACTTTACAAGATATATAACCTTTTTGTGAATCAAGAGAATATTTCTAAGTAATAGCATGACATTCAGGGCGATTAGTGATAGTTAAATGTACCCGAAAGCCGAGAGAGGTTTAGTAAAAGTCCCCGAGGCGCGTAGCACTAATCGACCGTATAATGCCATGCTATCAGCCTAGTCCCAGTCGTTCTGAAGCAAGCGCGAGGAAAAAACGTGCATGTAGTGCGAGACTATGACCTAGGTGTGACGTCACCGCTAAAGGTGTTTCAGAACGCCTAGCAGATTTCAGTATTTTTAATATGGCGAAAATTTATATAATTTTACAAATAACCTTGTAAATACGACAATGTTCGTTGATCATGTTCGATGTCTACATAACCAAATTCATACTGTATTAAAAATGTGCTCAACTAAAAAAAATATATATACAAATTTACGATACTGAGTCTGAGCAATGGTCGTATATTCGTTGATGTTATTTATATACTCGCAAGTTGTGATCAACACTGGACCATACTGGTATACAAAACTATGCTTTCTACTTCACAGGTTTAATATAAGTAGCTGAGGAGATTGGAAATATTTGCCTGACATGACTGTGTTGTCAAAACATTTTTAGTCGGAGACTCGGCATAATTTTCAAGCTTCTAGATAGCATTTAATATGGCTTATATTTTAGTAAACACGAGTCATATTTAGCCCCGTTATTCCATTCTGACCGTATGGTAGCGAAACGTAGCCTATTTCATTGTTCCGACAACATTAGAGCAAAACTAATGACTTAATTATAAACACAAAAGAAATTAATTTCCATAACATTTTCTCTTTACAAACGCGGTATGCTTGGTAACCAGGCCAGGGACCACTTTTTTGAAATCAGGGACCATTTTACCGAAATCTGCTAGGCTCTCTCGCTGAAGCGTTCCGCACAGAACACCCAGGCATAAAACTTTTAAGACTTATTTAAATATACCAAAGCAACTAATAGAGAGAGAGCCTGGGACTAGGCTGCCATGCTATTACTTTGTAATAATCATAGTTAACGAGGGAATCGCGCGTGGTGTGTTGCCTGTTTTGAATGCTGTTTGATTGTCTTATGATTGTGGTACGAACACTTTTCATATATACGCACGCGCAGAAACACATCTCCGTGTTTATTGGCGTTTTAGGCATGCGCATAAACGGAATTTTCTCCCACAATTGAAATGTTCAAAATTAGGGAATAAAAGCTGGCAACTAAGGTGATTGTTCAAATGTGTACGGGACGGTGTCGTCAGATACTGTCCATAGTTGTGCCGATGATTTTCGATGAGGTACAGCTCTCGAATCAGAGGTAGTGAGGTACGCTTTTGTCTTCTAAATTTCCCTCAGGGGAAAATTAGAACTAATTTTACCACGGGCAAAATTAGTTCTAATTTTGCCCGTGGTAAAATTAGTACTAATTTTACTTCATGTTTTAGTAATGAGGTTAATTCGTTATTAATCGAACCTCGCGAGACAAAGGATTTCGAGGCAACTATGATATTATTATAATAAAAACGGGATAATTGACACAATACAGTGTTTTAAACCCAAATAAGGGACAAGTTCAGCAAAGGCCACCTCTTATTGCTCCAGTGTTACTACTGGAGGAGATGTTACAGTACCTACTGTACATGTATGCATTAAGCTAATTCAATTAAATTTTTCCTTAAAACTGCAAAACCGTCACCTCTAAGCCCGAAAAATCACTGGAGTTTAATTGCTACAATCAAATAGAGACAAATGCTACAATTAAATAGAGACATATTAAAAGAAGTCCAGTCTGCCTTTTAACTAAGAGGTCGAGGTTTAAAGTTGCACGAGTTTTGAACTTAACAGGACAACCTCATTTAATTAAATAAGCTATATACAAGATATAGATATACTGTACAAGTGTACATGTCCTTATATTCAGTATTTACACTACGATAATGTAACTAACTGTCTTTAATTTCCTTTGTAGCTGTGTTGAAAAGATACTTCCTTTCCCTGTGCGAAAAAAACAAGCAGATTGTGGAAAACAAATATGAGGACCACAAGAAGAAATGTAGAATGACTGGCAGAAAAAGAGATGTAAGTACAAATGGATCTGCATATAAATACGATGAAGTGCGATACCGTGCAACAAGATTTTCTATATATAAGTGTCCCCAAAAAATCGAAACCTGATTTGAATCTCATGAAGAATTAAGAATGACTTTCAACACAATAGGTTGTATGATAAACAATGCTAATTACAACAGGTATACTTTTTTGAGACACCCCTGTATAGCATAGTGTCATGTACACCCCAATAGGTATATTTCGTTCAAATCTAAATCCTTGTCCATACCCCGAAAATATTTTAGGCCTGTTTTTATCCCGGCACACACTGGAGCTATCAGCTGAGCTGAGCGTCACTCGTGACTGTTGACGTAAGCAAGTTCGCCCATTTTGCCGTGGCGTTTTGAGCGATTTCAACCACGCGTGCCATCGGCACCGATATTGAATAATTTTAGTCACTAATTTCCTCCATCAACTTTCATTGTAGATCGAATAGGCATGCGAAATAAAACATAACACAAAAGGAAAAAAATGAATGAGGAATGTAATACTTGAGA